AACCGATGAGATTTTGCAAATTTTATGCGTTTTTTTTAAAAAAAAAGGTATCAAGCTCTTAAAAAATCACCCGTTATTTGAAGGCGAAGCGGTACTTCACAAGTTCAGCAGTTGGCCAACTCGAAGTAAGTGTTTACTGCCACTGCGACATTTGAGCCAAACTACTTGACGCATAGTTATGCAGTTGTCTTGTCATTTATGGTGGCAGTTTTGCAGGAGGTGGTGGTGGTCTGCCGTGTAGTTGCCATCGTAGCTGCTAAGGTAATGGTCGCTTGGCTGCTGGTCTGCTTATTGTTTGTTATGTTTTCGTTGACAATTTGCTACCGATTTTCCTTCAAGTAAGAGTGGAGTAAAACTATTACTTTTTCTATTAATTTCATATTTTTTTTTTAAATAGTTGCTGAATGTTGATTGTGGCTTTCCACTGTGGCATGTTGCTATATACTCGTATGTTGAATAGTGAAGAATGCTGCTGAAAGTTGAATGCTATGATTTCTATCGAATCGACCTTCAGGTTGACATGAGTGAAGAAATTGTAACATCTTTTGCGTCGGGCAGGGCAAAATCGGCCGCACAGTTAATGTGCTGCAGAGAACTGATCAAGGATTACGGTAATATTTCTTTACTGCGGTCTAATATACTTTTTCAATCCACCATTTTCCCATAGTATTTATGTATTTAAATATTTTATTTATTCATTTTTATGTCAATAAATAAATAAATGTAGACTTCAAAAATTTAGCATTTTCTTTTATCGAATTTTATTTATTGTTGGAAAGCGCCGTTTTATAGCTTATTTGGTGATTAACACGCAAAAGAATACTAAAACCAACACAATGGCTCAGACAGCACAACAGTTCCGGGCTATGTGAGTGTATTAAATTCTAATAATAATCATACCAGGTTATTTCATTAACTTTATTAACCGCTTCCGAAAAGTGACCAAAAGATTTTGGAGGAACCGATGCTGTCGGTACCAAAAGGGATTCCCCCTACTGGTATTGATACCTTCATTTACCCGATCAAATTGAATTTAATTGGTGCACAAAAATTACATATTCAGGTAAATGTTTAGCATATAAATAATCTTGTAATTTTATTTTAAATTACATAGTATGTATGAGAAACTAATGCGCATTTCAAATAAATTTAATTAATGCCAGTTACTAATATTTTCCTTGTAAATGCAGGGTAGGCGACTTATGATGATTCGACTACTCGCAGATGATGAAAATAAGTACAAGGAAGAGCTAGAGAAAGTTGGTTTTGCCCCGTATACTCGTAAAAACCAGCATATATTCCCTTATGTGAATCCAAAATCCTATGTTCATATACCTTTGTGTAAATAATGGAAAACATAAACGCTTCTTTGCGTGCAAAAAAAAAACAATTTTGGTTTCCTTTCATCCAATGAAATTTGTAATAATAATAATACGTAGATTGGCGTCTACATTTACATATCGTCGCTCGAATAAAGAAACAGTGTAAATGCCACATACACTATTATTCGATAATTGCACCATTGGATAGACAATCCTTTAATCTATTAGAAAAAACTTTAGTTTTCTTAAATATCTCTTTGGCTCACTGATTTATTCGCGAAAAACGAAATTGTGTTTGTAGGGTTTGTAATGGTTTATAAAAACTTCCAATTCGTTTTTCTCAAAACTATACTTTTCATGTTACACTATTTCATTATTCCAGCGACGATATGTTACTGTTTGGCCGAGCTTCTCCTTGGATTTGTGGCGTGCGCCTTGATGTTTTCATACAAAGAGAAGGGACCCACAGTTTTACGCCGACTCCGAATGGCGATTGTATTTTTATTAGAAGCGATTTTTCATGGCAGAAATACACTCAGAGGTTTGCCATTGCCTACCGAGGGGCGACCGCTATTAAAATTTTTTCAT